GATGAAGTTTTTTTTTCTTGTTTTCAATATATCTAAACAAACCTTGCCTGTTACGAATTTTGGCATACTTTTTATGTAGATGCAAGTATCTTATTAATACGGAATAATATTATATAGTTTTATACAAAGAATCAGAATTGGAATTTGAAAAAATGACAGTACAGAGTATTCTGCTTGGAGTCTTCTCTTCCTCGTATGAAGTCTTCTATTCTAAATCTTTACCTATCTTTGCTTCCTGTATTTTCCATTACTGCAAAGAGTATTTAATCTTCGGTTTGCTAAAGACAGCCATTCATTCTTGATTTTTTTGTTTTTCTTGTTTTTTGCTGGTCTGCGCCGTAGTTACTGACACCGCAATTTTTCCGCACCGATCCCCAACTACAGCAGCAAATTGATAGAAAATTTCGTGTTACATGCCAGAATCCTGTCCAGTGTGGAGTCCTTGGGTCTCCCTAGCTTACAGTTACGGTGTGGCCTGCTGCATTTGTCAACCAATTTTAATCGCCCAAATATATACGAGTCCCGCTTGTGTGCTTGATGTCTCCATAATGTGACAGACGCTGCTTTGCTGTGCTCCACTGCGCACATTCATTTTCCGTGGGCCTGGCTCCACATCCTTTGTGCCATAGCTCTAAAATATATTTGCAAATCGATAATACTTACACATGAAAGTATTTGTAATAAATTTAACAACCCAAATCGAAGTGCCAAGGCGAAGAAACGCCACGCCCCGCCAGAATCAGGGCTCAATCAGGCTTGCTCTTTGGCAACTGGCACGTCGGCAACTAGTTTTTGGCTTCATGATTTTGTCGATTGTTTAGTGCAAGTTGAAAGTTTTTGTTGCAGACAAATTCGGCAGCGAATTCTTAGACCTTGCCTCCGTCGAACATCTCGGGCATCTTTTGTCCCTCTTCACGTTTAAGGAAATTGCCTTTTAGCTGTGTGTACGAAAATCGATGCTTGATGCCGGTAATTGTGGCTTGGGCAACGACCCAGATTAGATGCTCTGTCTCTCCCTTCTTCATTTGCATTTTTTGGCTGAGATAAAGACAAGCTTAGGGCAATTTCATTTATTTATTTTATAGGTTTGCAGATGTGCGCGCAGAGAACAAAAAAAAAGGAAATTATTTCATTGTGATTCTCTTAATTTGATGAATGATTTTGACTATTACCAAAAAGTTAGTAAAGGGTCTTAAGCCATAGCAGACTCTTTTGTTGTTTAAGCAAATTAATATCTTAATTTTACTTCTCAATTGTCAATTGCTTGGGAAAATGTGTTTATTAATTATAATCCACTCGGCTTGCATGCTGATGTGGCTCATAATTAGTTGCAGCTGGTGTACTTTATGCTGCTGAATTTGAAGCTCAAATCAGGCCACAGTTGACCAAGTTCAGCGCCAGCTGGTGACAATATGTGCGGTCTGCAATATACGCATGCGAAATGCATAAAGGGCGCAAGGCACATGTCTGACACACACGCATGCACACATGCACACCCACACAAGCACACATTGTCGTAGGCTCGGTGTGTGCACACACTTTCATTTTGTTTGTAATTCGTCCAATAATGGCGGCATTACGCTTATTTAACATGCGCGCACACACACACACCCAAACAAACACACACAAGCACATGGACAACTAACGCAACTGTCCAAGCGTAGCACATGCGTGAGAAGTTTATGAGCGCATGTGTGTGGCGTGTGTGTGGATGCATAAAACTGTCCTTAACCCACAAAACAGTGACAAGGGATAATATTAGCATAATATGAGTGCGTCGTGTGGATTGGGGCCTGTCTCAGTAGACGTGTGTGTGTGTGTGTGTGTGTGTGTTTATGGTGGTTGTGTGTAGTTGTGTATGTGCCAGTGTTGGCCAACACTAAGCCGCATTGGGCCAGACGTTTGGCATAAGCGCAACCAAGCAACACAGCCAGGCAGTCACTGACATCGCACAGTGGGCTGCAAATCGATTTTTTGATATCAAAATGTTTCATTTCAAGTTAAAAAAATGTATTATATCAGGTAGGTTAATTTCATCCACTGTGCAGTAGCACGCTGGAGAAGAGTGTGTGTCAGACTGTGATGCTGAGCGCAAAGCACAGAAGTCGTAGAAATAAATATTGGCAAATCGATAGATATATACATACATATATGCAGAGACTAAGCCCATGTTATGGATATATTAAAATATCGTATGTGGCGCAAGAAACGAAAACGAAGAAACGAAATCTTTTTGAACTTTTGAATCTCTTTTTGACTGTCTTTTGGTTTGAGCCTTATCGAATTGCGTTTATCTTTGTGGAGCTCGTATAAAATGAAATCTTCAGCCTCATCTGCATGTTGCGTGGAGCCAAAAAAATGTAAAGCGGAATTTAAGCCTCATGCGAGGCCATAAAAACGTATCAACGACTTTGTGGCAAGCGCCGCTGCCATGCTTCCGCTTCCGTTTGCCCCTTGCTGCGTTTTATCAATTTAATTGGCATTGATGCTCGTTCCATGCAGGCCTCATACTTTTTTTTTTGGGGCTTGGCCGGTTAAGGATTAACCATATAATGGCATGTGCTCGTAAGAAAATGAGCTTCCCGTCGATTTTTAATAACATTTTATGCCATTTCGTGCTGGCCAACAGCAAAAAATTTTGAGAGCAGGCAATAAATGAGCCGTTAAATGCTTTAAGTTAGCCGGAGACCAGAAGCGTGAAACAGTGTGCGTGTGTGCGTATGTGTGCGTGTGTGTAGGGCGTTTTATTGCCGCTTTATTGTGGCCAACTGTCGGCTTGGCCAAGTCTTAGCCAAGCTAAGCGTCATAAACGGGTTAATGACTTGGAAGTTGCTTTTAATGCGCACACAAACGCTCGACATTTGTTGTTGTTGTTCATGTTCCTTTTTTTGTTGTTGTTGTTGTCTGTTTCATGTTGTGTGGGCTGCCACTCAAGTGTTGGCTGTTAAGCCGCAATCCCCAGCCTTTTTGCAGCCTTTGTCTCAGGGCATCCGGGATTTTTTTCTATATCAATTTTACGTCGCTTTTTGGCTGTTCTTGCTGTTGTTGTTTACCCACAATATGATTATTTTTTTATGTCCAACTTTTAATTTGTTTGCACATGTGTTGTGTGTGTGTGTGTGCGTACACATATAAATGGCTGGGGGCGAGCCTTGTAATGGCTGGAAGGGAAAACTTATTCTTTGGCCATTTATATCGGCACTCGGCAGCGCCACGCATTTATTTTTCTCATCAGTTTTTTTTTGGGAGGAAGGGGGTGTGGGCAACAACAAAACAAACAAATTGCCAACCAGTTGCTTGGCATTATTGCCCCTTTCCCTTGCCGCGCTTTCCCACATTTAGTGTTAGACATTTCCGCTTTCCTTGGCACACAAATGGGAGGTCATTTTTATTTAACAATATGCGTTATTACAGCTCCGGCCATTGTTGTGGCTGCCACACTCGTGTGGCATGTGTGTGTGTGTGTGGCAGGCGCTTGGGGCGCGTTCAGCCATAAATGTTTTATGTACCCATATTTTGATTTATGCCATTGCGAGGCCTGCGTTTAGGTGTTAATAGTTCTGGTTGATTGTATTCCTTATGTTATTTATATTTAATGCGTGCTCATCATGCACGTGTCATTGGAATTGAAAGCAAATCGAAACTGAAAAAGCTGTGGAGGAAAATATAAATAGCAATAGGATAAGTGTGGCAAAGTCAGGGAAATCTAGACTTCAAGAATACAACTTCAGTGGAAAAAGCAAATTTAAAAAATATAGTTTGTCTTATCTTTCTAAGAATTTAAATAACTTTCTTTATTATTGAATATATTATTTTAATTATTTTTCATATGTTTCAAAATATTTATGCATTAACTGTATTCACTTTTTGATATTTACAATCATTATTTTATGCATAGATTTTATTCAAATATAAATTTTTTTTAATCTTGAATAAAAATTTGCTTACTTTCTTATGGCAAGTCAAGACCCATTACACATACCACGCAATTACATGCATACCTTACTCAAAAATTTAATTTCCCATCTGTGATTGTTGCCATTCTCTTTGGCATTTTACGACTGCAGCGCTTTTTATAATTATTCAGCGCGGCAATGTTGAATAATTTCCCGAATTAATGACAGAATGTAAAAATTGTATAAAAGACATGTCGACTTATAAATTGACTTCAATGCAAAACGCGCGCGCGTTTACGGCAGAATTTGTACGCCTGAGCTGCGGCACGTAGCAGCGTTTTGGGGTGCCCCTAAAAGTATGCACCAGTTAATTTGAATTCGATGTATGTGTGTGTGTGTGTGTGTGTGGGGAGCTCGACTTAAACTACTTAACTGTCTGACTGCCAGCGGCCGACGCCTTGCCAACTCAGGCGAAAAATCAAAATTTCCGCACATTGCCTATTTTTCAAAGCATGTGAGTGTAAGACTGTGTGTGTGTATGTGTGTATGTGTGCATGTGTATGGCTGGGTGTGCATGTGTGTGGATATGTATGCCCGCGGGCAACTTTATTTGGGGGGCTTTGCTTGTGTCTGCCGTTTTAGTTGAATTGCAGCTGCTGCTGCTACTGATGTTGCCTGACGGTGTCTGTTACCACTGATGTGTGTGTCTGTGCTTGTAAGTGTGTGCGGTTGGGTGTGTGCCAGCCTCGTTTCAATCACGTGCTGCACGACGACCGCCATTCAATGTTGTCAAAAATTTATAGCAAGCAGCAAAAAAAAAAAAAGCAAAGACGCCAGCCAGGTAAACGATAACTGGCAGGCGTACTCGCACAAATGTACAATATGTACATATAAAGAAATAAATAAAATGGCATAAAAAACATGCAAATAAAATTAACAAAACGAGACGAAAAAGAAGCAGGTTAGTTGAGCACACCTGACGGCAACCAGGCGACCGGATTTAAGGCTATACAAACGCTTGATAACTCTTGACGCGTGTGTTTGTGTGTTCCCAATGTGGATTTCGTCTTTAATTTGCGCAAGGCTCAATAAGAAAATGTTGAGTAAATATATTTAAGAGAGAATTTTTATTCCAATTGACAATATATGACAATATATTCTAAATCGGCATCCATAGTCGAATATAATAATAATATAACCATGTCCGTTGTCCTTTGGTCTTCGCTGCTTCTCATATATATGCAACATAGAACTATTGTATCATTAAGCTGCCATAGGAACGATCTGTCGTAAAGGAGGTTATCATATGGATAAATATTCTGTTTTCCAAGAAACTTACATATCTGCGTAACCGATAGGCGAATGTTAACAAGGATATTTAATCTTTGGCAAGCCGAAGATATCCTTACTTCTTCTTACCGCAAAACGTACCCAAAATAATGTAAAATTTTGTGATTTCGTAGAGTTCATTTCTTGGAATTTCTGGTTCTCGTTCTTGATTTTCCTTTTGAGCTTTGACTTCAAATGCTTTGGTTAATAATACCTGTAAAAACGGCTGCCAATGATGCGAAAATCACTTGAATCGTACAATGCGGAGCCACAACAATTGTGCGTCGCCGAGCTCAATATAAAACTCATTTTGGGCCGCAAAGCATTTGCTGCTCTTTGCAATTTGTTGCAAAATGAATTTAAAGAAATGAATCGAATTATGTCATAAATTCGACAGACAGACATTGACAACGGCGACGACGCCAACTGTCAATAATGCCATTTAAAGCAATAAAAAATATTATTGATTTATTATTTTGGTAATGCAATTTGCTGGCTGCGAACGCAGCGCAGCAAAGCGAAGCGTCACGTTGACTTTTGAGCGAGCGACAAACCTGTTCCGTGGGTCAGTTTTTGACCATGGCCAATCAATTGGGGACTTTCTGGTTGAGGAGGTGTGTACACCCTTGTAAAGGGTATTATAATTTTGTCACGAAATGTGCAACGCATAGAATAAGTTTTATCATGTGATCTATCCATCTGAATGCCGTCTTATACCCTTGTTAAGAGTATTATATTTAGTTATAAAACGCACTCTAATATACGCATTTTGACCTTCTGAAATTTGCCTCCCTCTCTCTCTCTCTCTCTCTTCTTCTCTCTTTCTCTCTCTCTCTTCATACCCAAACTGTATGATATTATATAGTTCGAAAATAAAAGTATAAAGCGTATTTTGAAGAGCTTCACAAGCGTATTTAATCTTCAGCATGCCATAAAGATGGCTATTTTCTTCTGTTTTAAGTTAGTTAAAAAGCCAAATTTCTTGACCAAAATTGTTAACATAGAGATTAACCAAAGTAGACCCAAAATGAGCTACATACCTTAAACCGGCGGCTGGGAAATTAAATTGTGCAGAAAACTGACTAAAATGCAGCCAACTTGAACGGCAAAAACATGTTAAGTATTTCCGAGTCGCAAACGAAAAACAAATGGTAGCTCTATAATCATCATCATCAGCGCTGATGAAGCTCGTCTGGCAGCCAACTGGCGAGTGGGGGAAAGAGAGGGTGGAGGGAAGAGTGGCCCAAATGTTGTAAAGTGTCATTTTGCGGTTGTTGAAGGGAAGACCTTGGATAATATTACATAGATGCCTGAGTAATGATCTGGTGAGCGAAAGTCTGGTTGTCCTGTGACTGGTTAAATGATGTGTGTGCGAATCCTTTTAATATGCTTAACACATTTTTCGTATTATACGTGTGTGTGTGTGTGCGAGTGTGTCTGTGTGTGTGGCATGTAGCATGTGGCCTCGTTGCACCTGTGACGCATGTCGCCAGTTGGGCACGTTGAACAAAAGCCACAATTACAACAAAATACTTGTGAACTACTCGCACAAGGTCGTTTATTTTTGTTGCTGTTGCTTTGCATGCTAATTAAAAATTAAAATATCCACTAAAACAAAAACGAAAAAATGGAAGGCAACTTGTGATTCATTAGGCTGGCAGGCGGTGCCAGTGAATAATAAATAAACTCGCTGGCTAATTAAGTGAGGAAGCGTTTCTCTCCCACCCAATTCAATTCTCTGTCCTTTTCTGGCTGCCTGCACAGGATATTATACGCTTGTAATTTAAATGGCACACGTGGCCCGCGTCCTGTGAGAATGTTGAACCTCATTGCGGGCCATTTGGCTGGAAATGCAATCGATAATAAGCCGGAGCCGGCACAGCCATGTAAATTAACTATGACTATGCTCGGCTAGACAAAGAAAGAGAGAGGTGGAGAAGAGAGAGCGACAGGAGGGAGACAAAGCGGGAATGAGCGCAACCATGTGAGGCTTTGGCTGCGGCTGGCCCGCCGTCCTACATGTTTCCTGCCACATAAACTGTTCAGTTTTTCATGCTAAAAAATTAATGATAATTTATAAAATTACTTAACATAATGCATATTTGAGTGAGTGACTGCATTGTGCGCGATAATATATTTATATAAATTTAATTAAATTGGAAGCATAACGAACACAGGAATTTGGCTAGCTAGCCGAAAGGATTATACATATGCATACAAATTATGCTAAAGTATCAAATGATATTTAATTATATAAAAAATTACATTTATAAATTTCAATTGATATATTCTGAATGCATAAGCAGCTGAGTGCTACCCAGGAATAAGCCAGCATTCATTTTAACAATTGAAAGCCAACCTTCAGCTTGAATGACTCGCAGTGAATACAGCAGGTGCTCAACATGCCACAAAGCTGAATAGCTGAGCATATTAAATCCTGGTTAAAGTTTGGCGTTTAGGATTTGAAGCAAGAACAATGGCTAGGCGTTTGGGGAGTGCTCACAATTCACAATTACAATTATTTTTCTAGTTTCGTTGAGGGCGACGCATAAAAATCGCAGCTGTCAGTTCAAAAAGCCAAAAACTTCAGTAGCAGCATCAATTTTCCACACGCCAGCGAATTTTCGCCGCAGGAGCACACACACACACACACCCACACACACGCATACAGAAGGAGCTGCGAACGCAATTTTCACGTGCAAACTTTGCGCAACAGAAAAAACAACTACAAAAACAAAGCCAATAAAGCGAGTGTAAAATGGCATCAATTGCACTAAAACGAATATTAAATACGCTCTAAATTATTGAAAAATTATGAAAATAGATATCGAACACCCCAAATATTTGGTAATAATCAAATAAGTAATTGAATTTGCATATTTGTTTAGAATAAATATCAATTTAAAAGCACGCTTTAAGCCGGGCTTCTGTTAGCTGACAAGCTGCATGAACAGTTCGTTAAGCCCTTCGTTTCTCTCATAGAGCATCGTAAAACAAGTGTAGCGACGTGGCACGGCATAAGTTGCCGCAAATAAAGTAAGTTGCACACTTTTATTTTGTGCGTTACCAAAAGCACAGCGTATGGCTGTCAGAAGGGGTGGGTGCTGGCAGGGAGTGTGCGGCTGCCAGCTAATCTCAACAAACAAAGCGTGAAACTAACAATTCTGCAAATACAGACTAACCGCACGCGCACCCACAGACATGGCCAAGTAAAAGAATGAGCCGCAGAGCGGCTGGGAAAGCGGGTTGGTAAGGACCGAAAACTTGGTCTGGCGTTAGTAAGAGACAGGAGATAGGAGGGCTATATAGGGGACAGAGTGAGAGGGCGAGCAAGAGAGAAAAGCGAGAATGAAACTTTATTTTCAAGTCAGACATCGAATTTATTTTCATGTCATCAGCGCGTTAAGCACAAAAGTGTTCCTATATGTGCATATATACATATATATATATATATCTGTATCTATATGCAGAGCTTCCTTGTGTTTAAGGAAAGCGCGTCTAGCTGTCGGAGTTGGCATTAAATTGGCAGAACTTGCTAATTTGCTTTTGGTTGGCGTTCGCTTTGCGCATTTTGCACGCCAATTGGTTGCAACTAGGCGTATACATAATGCGCGAGTGTTTAAGCAAATTAAGCATACGCAGCGTGGAACTTAAACAAAACTGAAGAGTCACATTAAACACAGACAGGAAGTGAGAGAGTGAGAGAAAGCAGAGAGGGAGGGAGTGTCGAAAGTGTATAGGGCCAAGCCGGAAAGCAACAAGCGGCTCAGGATATGCGACAGAGGCGCCCAACCCAGCAACAAGCTAAGCTCTAATTTTCTCACGTACTTGTAAATTTTGCGGAAAACCGCAACAAATTCACTTATAAAAGTAATCTAGAAAACGCGTACAAAACAGGAAGCACGCAAAAGGCCAGAGCAAATGAAAAAAAAAAAACAGAGATGTTTAAAATGCTCAAAAGAAAACGGCTGAAAACTCGGTGGGTAAAGAATTGCGTTTGCGACACGGCGACAACTTTGCGTTTTATGTCGCCCTATAAAAGCCATGGCCAAGTGGTCGACGGAGGCTGCCTGGCCCGGACTGGAACAAGGGCTGAGGCTGGGGCTGCGTGCCAAGACCGGCGCAAAAAGGACTTAAAGCAGCCGACACTTTATCGCAGATTTAAAATTAAATGAATGTAAGCACATTAAATGCCCGACACTGTGTGCTGAATTTAGCTGGAAAAATGCTCGCCCAAGCAGGGAAAAAGTTTACAACTCAAAGTTAGTTTATGCCAACAACAAAGAGTTAATTAATCAGCAATTTGTTAAGACGCAGTTAATATAATCGCATGCTCCGGGGCTTTACATCAGGCTTAAAGTTCTGCGCTGCATCGGATTTAATTTCATTGCGTGCAAAATATGTAGTGAGAAACTTTTAATAGAAGAAAAATGACTGTTTACTTTTATTTCAGCTACCCCTGCACTCCCATAACACGCAGACAATGTTAAACGAAGCAACCATTCCCCTCAACCTCTATAGAAATCCCCAATCATAATCTCGCATCATTACGCCCAGGCGGACGCCATCCCCAGCCAAGTCCCGCACTCAACTGCCAATTAGGCGCAAAACTTGTCACTTTCACCCAGATCAGCTCTTAAACAGTTCGTTTTGATATCCTCTACACATTAAATGGATAAGAGGGGTTTCCAATAAAGTTGTATTAAGTAGTTTATGCTGGATAAATACTTTTGTGGCTTTATAGGGCGTCGATCTCAGAGACTATTAAAGCTCTGAGACTTTAGTTCGGTATAATCGATTTATTTAACAAAAAAATATGCTCAATCGTCAATTTTTAGACAATAATTTGAATTTTCAACTGCCCAACTGCACTGAAAATATTGGAAGCTGTAAACATTTTCATAGGCAAGATGCGGGCTAAATGGAAGATCTGCCCAGAATTGTGGCAAACGCCACAATTAATTATACTTTGGGGTGGGATCTGCCCTAAACTTACTTAAATTTTGGTTCTTAGCAAAGAAATAATATTAGAATTCCTAGCTTGAACCGGCTCGTTCCGAAGCCGCTTTGCAGACTTAACATTAATACCCTATCTAGACAAAAACTTTACTAAGAATAAAATAACAAAAGCGGAAGTTGTGCAAAAAGCTTCCGTAGATATGAACCCATGAATACATTAAGGAAAATCTGAAAATAAGAGTCAAGAAAGAGCTTTATTATGCCTCCCATAGGCACTTTTATAGACTGGCTGCACAAAAGTCAGATCAATTTTTTTTGTAGCAAAGCAAATTCAAAGAGCAGCAAAAAAGTTTTAATGCAACTCACACAAAGCAAAGGAAGTTCAAGCATAGTTTAAATGATCAAAATTGTGGCACAACAAAAGTTGCTGGCCAAACAAATGAGCTGAATGTGAGGGGGAGG